TTCCGCGCGAGGCGGCGTCGCGCGGTGCGCTACACCGCGCCGCGCCGTGCCGCGCCGCGACGCATTGCTCGTTGTTGCGTGAAACTGTGTTGAGCGGAAAAGCGATGCCGACTTATGCAAACGACGCGCTTTACGCGCGCGTCGCGGCGCGCTCAATGGACGCCGTAAAAGTAACACAACACCGTGCGAAGCCGATCATTGGATCTTTATTACATTATTTAAATACCCCATTCCTCGCGGAAGTTATAAGAAAATTCTTCTAAATTTTCTAATTTAATTTACGTTTTTCAATTTTCCTACTTTTATTATACTTTGTTCTTTCGTTTTTTTATCCATCGCCTTTTTCTATGTATGCTTCATTTATGTTTTATCATGTTCTTTTTATAAAAACTCATGTGCTTTGTATAGAAATATTACATAATTGGCATTAAAGAATTTTTTATATATATATTAGCACCTCAGAAGTATACTGTTATACTGTATACTGTATATGTTAAACCACACTATGTTTTTTCGAAAATTGAGTTATTATTATCACAAGACTCTATACTCTAATTCTTATCCAATGGCAAACAGTTTTAAGTCCTTAGCTGCTAATAAAGGAGTTCTACTTTTTAAAACTTACTTTGATTTTAAAGAAATTAGACTTAACAAAAATAGTCGAGCGATCGCAAATATCTTCAAATTATATTCATGGAATTTAACATACATACTCTGACTCTAAGGCAGCTAATATATACATATATATATATATATATATAAATGTGTGAGTGCGTGTGTGTATAATTACAAAAACCAATTATGTTTTAAAATTTAATTGTTTCACGAAGGATTTCATAAAATTAATGTAAAATACCTTTTACGGGAAATAAAACCGTAATTGAATAATTTTTCAAACGAAATATTTTATAGAATTGTTATCAATTGTATTATTAATAAACTATCCGCAAATATTTAAAATCCCGCGACAATTAAAATATTGCATAAAAAGTCCGCGATTTTCCAGAACAGTTTCCATCCTATCGCTTTTTCGTTATTATTATCTCGTAAAAAAAACTTTTACCCGCGTTTATTTTGCGAGAAGCGAAATACTTTAAATTTACAGTGAAATTTAATAACTCGCCGAACGCAGAGGGAATTTATATTTTTGTTAATTAATGCGCGGCTCGCATATCTAACTGGCGTTATTCCTATTTTTCTTCGCGAGTTAAAAATTAAAGGTTCACACAGATTACAAGGCGGGATATTTTTATCTAATCAACAGGTACGTTCAGTGTCAAAAACAATACATTGTGATGGAATTAAAAAATATCATCGTTCATTGGATCACATAAATAAATATCGTGTCTCGTCTAGCTCCATCGTAAATTTTCGATGATCGATGCTGCCACACACGTGCCAAATTGTGCCAAAGCGCAGGGTTAATCGATAACAGTATTTATTTACAGACAATTGTATGTTTAACTGTTGTATATCATTGCTGCCCTGTTGTCATTGCTCTTAGTTACGTTATTTATCGACAGTGAAATGCTTCCCGATTGCAAACTCCCGAATAATCCTAAGTTTCAATATTTCTAAAAGTTTAATAACCGACGGTAAAAAAAAGCAAAAATATGTAAAATACGTACATTCCACAAATTGTGGAAAATTATTACTCATAAAAGGAGAATTTTTTCGGTAAAAATTCATTGAAATTAATTTTTGATAATATCAATAATTTTGATAAAATTGTCCTCGCACTAATCGGAGAAAATTAAACGTGCTATAATATATCTTCTGTTAATTTAAAATGGACTTCGCATCAGCAGAACTTTGATTTGAGGCTTAGTAGTTAACATTTTCAGTTCCATTGTAAACTGCAGTTTATGTCTACTTGACGATTTATTTTCATTGCGAGAAGATCATTGTGGGCCTTTATTGCCCATTGTGAAGAATAGTTTGCAGATGCCAGTAACACTTCCTCCTGTTACATGGCTCTCAAATATAGTACTCACTAAAATGTGCCAGGGCATCTCGTGTCGTAATGTGTTGCTGTAACGTGTAGCTATGGTATGTTGTGTGAAGTGAACTTCATGTATAAAGTACAATCAAATAAATTAAGCTTTTACTAAAAAAAAAACACGTTTGAAATTAGATAAAGAAATTTTTTAAAAAGTTATTAAAAGAAAAATCTATCACGGTTTTATAATTTTTATTATTAGGTACCATCGTAATTAAAATTTAAATTAAATTTATATCAATATAAAAATCATGTTAAATTTGAAAACCGTGAAATGTTATTATTTCTAATTGTATCTTCGATATTTAATTTATAAAACGTTTTTTAATTTTTAACGTTTGGTGTATGCCATGTATCACATTTTCGTTATGAGAATATTAACTTTATATTTGTCAATATGAGACAATGCAATATTTGCACCTCGCATGCATCCCAGCGCGGCTCCGGGTTGCAGTCTCACGAATGCTCGGAGATTTTTAGAACAACGTGAAATCCTTCGTGCCTCCGTCCGTCGGAATCTCCTCGGATTCCCCCCGCCTTCTCTCTTTCTCTCGCGAGAATTACGAAATCCCCTAACACGTCGCGTATAATGCACGCTGGTGCATCCGGGATGATGTGGATACGCGAATGCGTGCATACGCGAGTACGCACGTGCGTGTTTTATGTTTCGTCGCTCGTTCACGCGCGATCGAGTTTACTCGCTTGCGCTCACACGTGTATCCGCGCGTCGGCTCGCTGAAATTTAATTTGTCCCGACGCAAAACTAGTTCTGTCTCCATTTTCTACACTATTCCAGAAACACGCAGCCTGTCTCGAGGATAAGCCGGAAATCGGAGCAAAAAGCGGAAATCGCGAAAAATGAGAAATGAAATTAAAGATAAATAGAAATAGACTTTTCTGGTTTTCAAGATAAATCTCTTGGCCATTAGGAAAAATATATAATAATAATTAACTGATAATTAAATTTGTTGCTATTAAATAAGTTAAAGTGGCCCGCATAGACATAGATATTTATCATTTTAAAGTAAAAAATTAGGCAAAATTATTTTCTCTCTTTGTCACTATTTTTTTAACAGAGCACATTTTTGCATTTTATATAAATTTTTTTTTTCAAATATATATTGGTATAGTTTTTTTACTAATTTTAAAATGTTTACAAAACTTTGTATCTTACGATATTTTTTCATTTACTATGTTCTAACACACAAGAGTGCATGTATATGTAAACCTTAAATCTTTCAAAATGGCCAGCCGATCGCTGCTCACGTAAACTCATAAATCAGGAATAGACGGTATCGCTTTGTTTCCAGCCAAATATTTAAATATTTCATCTTTTCGTACTTAAATAAAATAGCAACGTTGTTACCGTCGGCCTTTGCACGTACCGAGAAGCTTTGCAACTGAATTGAAAATGCTCGACGAAATATATAATACTCGGAAAAGAATACAGACATTTTACTTATTAGCAGCATTGACAGAATTGATATTGTATTTATGTAGCAAAAATGAAGTATGTTAAAGGAATGTGTATATAGGTTACTTTAGATTTAGTGTATGTGTGGACTATACTTTTCAAATAATAATTTTAAAAAATTTGAGAATTTTTCTTTAGCATAAACATAAAAAAAAACATTGGTATTTATAATAAAATTTCAATTTTAATTTATTATTTGAAATAATTTTGAACGTTAACTATTTTTTCTGCAAAAAAAAATATTGAGTACAAAAAAGAATGAAGAATTTTTACCTTAATAAAAATTATATTTTTGTGAGTATATTTCGTATTTAAATATGTATAATATAATGTATAAAATATTTTGTGAATGTGTACGCTAAAAAGTGTTTTTGTAAAAGAAAAATATTTTATGCTGTTTATGCTTTTTGCAAATATCTTTCATTTTTTTGTATTTATTTAGTACTAAAAGATGGCAATTTTTGTTTCTTGCATTATATCGAATCGAAAAATAATAATTTATAATTGTTGTATTTCAATATTAATAATTGAGAGAGTTACGTGCACTTTTAATTAAAGGATTATAGAAAAATCTTTTGTTTAGAAAATAGCAGGTAATAAAAAAGATGGAAATAAAAGTATTGAATTTACTAAAGTATCGCCACTAGAAGAAAAATATCGATATTAGTAGAGAAAGTGTATCAATATACTTTCTGTATCTCCTATGTCTCTATCTACGGATCTTTCTACATATGCTTGATCGAAGAACGCATCCAAGAGTATGCATCCTTGCATGCATTCTCGCGGAGGCTAATGTACGAACATTCGTGCATTCCTTCTCCGTTTTATTTATTCGTAGTTTTATTTCTGAGATAAACTCTCGTCTTGCTTTCCGTCCACGGCGTCTTCCTTCCAGCAGATTTCCGTCTTATTGTGTCGCCTCGCGTTTCTCTTATCAGAGAAACGCTCGTGAAAGCAACATCGAAGGAAGACGCGCGTCGGCGTTTCTGTCTGAGAGATTCCGTTAAAAAATGCGTACATGTTGGCGAAAAAATAATAACGATAAAATTTAAGAAGGAGCATATGTAAATAAAATAATACTAACAATAATAAAGATAAATGGAGAATAGTGCAATAATAATGAAAATAAGTATAAAGAATTTTGTTTAAAAAATAGTGAGTTAATAACATGAGATTTATTTGAAAAGAATAAATATTCAAATATGTTTGGAATAATCAATGTTTTGGTCAGTTTTTTAAAGAAAAATGTAAAAAAATTCTATTTTGGCATGATATCAAAAGTTATCACTATTATAATCGATATTTAAATTCTTTTTTTAAATCACATAGTTTCTGCGTATCGAATTACAACGAATCACAGTTAAATTTAGCCGTAATATGTTAGTTTGTTTTGAATTTCGCAGGGTGCAAACATAAATATCCTCAACATAACAGTTTTGCATATCAACAAATGTATCGAAAAGTTCATTGCAGAACTTTATGATTTATGGTATAATTATTAAATATTTTAATTAATATAACACTTACCTTAACATGCAAAGATCTTTCGGTGATTCATGCGATGTATTATTTGTTGGGATGATTCCAAAAAGCGAGAATCTTCTTGGAAACACTAAATCAATATTCGCAACGCAACTCAACAATTTACACGCGTAAGAAGTGATCACTTACAATCACGCATTTCACACTCCCGATACGTACGATTTATTTTCGACGAGTAAAAATAGCGCAAAGAACATGAAAGATATAACTAGATCACGCGATTTCTGACATGATCGACATTTCCGACATGATCAATTATTAATAATGTACCGATATTAATTCAGACGTACAATAGTTTAGTTATGACATAATTGAATGAAGGTTAGGTTAGGTTAAGTGCTCTCACGTATTCATTATGTTTCAAAATGCAAAACATATGCAATACATTGCGACTAATCATACATACATATGTGATACATATGTATAATGTATGTAATTTGATATTTTCTATATGATTCACACACACTATTGGTTTTTGTAGAGTAAAATTTGCGAGACTCGATAATAGTAATGAAATACTTGCTGTTAGATTCTTTCGGAACGATTTAATATTTGATAATGACGCGATTTAATTCAGATTTAATATTGTCTCGATATTACTATCACGCATACGACTTACTTTTACGATACTATCTATAAAAAATGTAGAAACATGTTTACGCAAGTCATTTATGTACGCGATGACTAATGACAAAGGTAGTGACTTCGCGCGCTGTGCACGAGTGCGTTCTAAAATGCGTCAATTTCCGACTAATGTTCATTCTTACCAACTCAGATTAAAAAATTAATCCCTAGTAATATTCGATTATAACGAATTGTAAACCAAATTAAGTTAAATAAACCGAATGTTACTAGGGATTAACTTTTTAAACTGTATTGGTAAAACGGGAATTAGGCAGTCTGTTCTAAAATACGTCAATGTTTCATATTATTTGCATGTAGTTTTGGTTTTTGTAGAATAAACAAAACAGATTAATAAATGAAATTAAGAAACACAGTTTTTCATCAACTGCTCGACACTTAAACCGACAATCTCGATATTAATAGATGCATACATAGTTTACTTTTACAAAAAGAATTACAGTAGTGAAAAAAGCAGAGATATCATAATTAAAGACTAATAACGACAGCAACTTAGTGCGGTTTGAATTTGCAGCGAATGGATTTCGAAACGTTTCAAATTTCCGACTATGACATTAAGGTAGAATCAACCTAATGAACAAACAAAACAACAATCATACGATTGTTGATTTCTGATATTACATCTCGATATTAATTTACAGATACAACACAGACATTATGTGACATGATACAAGATTTCGTATTGCGTGCGCATGATGTGAATCAACTTGCAAAAATCGTGCAGACCATGTATCGATTAGTGAACAGAAAAGATTATTTTTGATAACAAATTAAAGATATCTTCGAAAATTAATGTCAAATCAAATATTATATGATGTCAGATTACTTAACACACTTATGGAACAGTTTAATATCATAATCGAAAATTGAAGCATTTCGGAACGCACTTGCTGCAAGTTTAAACCGTGCGAAGTTACTGTCGCCATTAACCATCGCGTTGTCGTTGTGCAAAGACGTCTCTGCACTTTTTACAGATTGTTGATTGTGAAAGTAAGTAGTGCGCGCATATTAACATTGAGACTGTAGATTTAAGAATCGTGTAGTTAATGAATTAAAACAGTATCAATTGTGAGCATTATGTTAAATCTCAATTAGACGCGAGTCGCGTATAGAGATACGATCACCCTTGTCATTACGCGTAAACTTGGCGCAAGATCGTGTTCCTTGATTTCACTATTATCGCATCCCATTTCGCGAATTTCACTCGGCAAAAATTAATAGCACATAATAGAATAAGATAAGAAATATCGAGCGTCAAGTTATATTACGTATGCATGGTTGTTATAAAATCGTAATTAGCCACAGTATATTTCATAAAATAATTACAGTGTAATAAAGTAGCTAACGAGTATATAACCTTTACGCGCAATCACAGTGTACGATCGCAATCGCTGTTAGTCGTTGCTGCGTCATTTTTTTTTTTAGCATTTGTACGTAATTTGTACGTTCTGCTTTTTTCATGATTTTTCGCACGTTATAATTGAATTGGAAATATGTCTGGATTAATATCGGCAGTGCCGAATACAATAATTGGTCGTATCGAGAATGTCAAATTAAGTGCCGCACGATCTATTATACGTTTCACGTCATTCGCGCTGTTTTCGTTCGCTGAAAATAAATCGCATGTATAAATATCGGGAGTGCCGAATTTAATCGCGCGTGACTGTAATGTGCTACGACGTTTCTTATGCGTAAATCACGCACGTGTACGGATTGCGTCGCAAGTGTTAGTTTAGTGCTTCCAAGACTTCCAGCTGTTCAGAGTGGTCTGAAATCATCGCATGGATCACCAAAGAAATATTCTCATGTTGTGCTAAAAGGTAAGTATTTTATTAATTAAAATATTTAATAATTTTAATAATTTATAAAATAATTAATATCTTTTAGATATAACAAGTAAGAGTATGATTTATATATTTTATTTCATGAATAATATAATATATGAATCGTAGATATTTTTTAACAGGTTTGTATAAAAAAAAATCTTGAATCCGCATATTTTGCGCAAAAATCTAAAAGATAGTAGACGTGCACATAACATATCAATGTATATGATATATGCAAGTTTGTATAGTTCACCGCATGTTTCACTACAGCGACCAAACGATTAAGCCGATTATAGCAATCAATATGTCAAAAAATCATGGATATTCGTAGTTATACTGCAGACAATTGCAAACGGTTATCAATTCTGGATTCAAAATGACGGCTGTTTGAGTCTTTTAACGATTTACAAAATTTGAAATGCCAAATCTACGATGCTATTTTAAACAGATAAAGACATCTAAAGCGATTTAAGCTTTTCGTAAATTTTCTAGATTACTTTTAAAACGCTTATTTCAATGTTCTAATTTTTCAATAGACTTAAGCTTAATTATCTTAAAAATTGATTTAAATAATGATCCAATTTAAGATATTTGAATTCTATTTTTCCGTATTCACAGCGTTGACAGATCAATTAATCTAAATTATATGAAATTTATTTATCATTCACGTTCCAAGAAAATTATTCGCGTTTTGACTGCTTTATCAGTACAAAATCAAATCAAATAATTTTCGCACACCATGTATTAAACAATAGTAATAATAACACATGCAAATGCAACAGGAAACTCGAGCGGTCAGCTGCGGGAATTCTCCGCCGCAAGAGGGAATGGTTTGCGTGGGTGGTTTCCGCTTGTTTAACCTTGCCGGATTAATTTGGCCGTTGTCGATGGACCGACTCCTCTCACCCTTTCTCTTTCTCTCTCTCTTTTTTTCGTTCGCTCGCGAAGATGCGCGCCGGGATTCGCGGCCTTGATTTATGCCGAAATCGGCGCCGTTTATTATCAGTCTCTTCCCTCCTCCCCTCCGGCCGCCCAAACCATTCCTGGCACTGCTGGATGTGTGCATGCGTGAAATTGGAAACGCAGACAAGCGTCCATGCAAATTTAACCCGTCCGTCTGTCCGCCATTCGACTCTCTGGCCGACAAAGAAGGAACTTCCGTATCTACCACCTGCCCCTCTGTTCCTGCCTCCCCTTGTCCTACCTACTACCAGCAGCCTGTGTCTCGTCGACGGATTCTCGGGGGATGGGGAGGAGGAAACCTCGTAGAGGAAGTCCGATGTGGGATGTTTTGGGAAATGTTGGGTATACTTAGCAGATGAAAAGGGGTGGTAGGGCGAAAGATGAGGTTGCCCCTATGCATCATACTACACATATAATATTTATCAGAATAAATTGAATGAAACGAATAAACGTTTCGTATTTCTTGTGTTTTATATTTATTCATACTTATTCTATAGATGTATTTATTTTAATACATAAAAATAAGCATTTGATAATATAACATAAAATTAAATACAATAAATAAATTGCTAAATATTATTCCACTTATTATATTAACATTATTAATTTTATATGTGTTTATTTGATACGTAGTACATTTATTTGTACAGAATGTTTCAGAGCACAGTTGGATATTCGTTCAATCATTTCTTTAGTAAATTCAGACATAATATTTTGTAGCAAAAATATTGAAAGAGATAAATTATGATAAATGTTATGCTTTCAATTTTAATATTATATATATATATATTTATAATTAAAAATTATATATTTCCTAAATTAAAATTTTATTGAAGAAAAACTCATTTAAAATTAACTTGAAAATTTGATTTTGTCGTCTTTTTTATTCTGCGATTTAGAATATAAATATAAAAAAGTCGACACTAAATTAATTGAAAACTTCGTAACAAAAAGGTGCTTTTGAACCTTATATATTTCATTTTCTTTTTCAATTCTCTTGTGTACAGTTGAACCATGTATCATATGGCACGTGGGTAATGAGTGGTATATGGCAGCCGCTTATAGGTTCGCCTAAAGCGCAATATCCTACAGAGCAGAACAAAGCGGCATATAGTAGTCCACTGTCAAATGTGAGTCATGTAATGGATGCAAATCTTGCCTTCAATAACAGAGCTTAATTAATTCCAATGATGCAATTGTTGATTGTACAGTCTCAAATTGCTCGAGTAATCCACTTGTACCCCTATAAGGGAAACTTTGCACTGCGAGAAGAAACTGTTAGAACAAATTTATTTCCAAGAAAATAATTTACAAATTATTATTTTAATATTCATAAGAAATTCTTATTGTTTTTTATGCGTGTTAAATAATTCTAAAATTGTTTTTATATAACAATATTCCTTCTAGAAGAAAATATTTCTGTATGACAATATATAAATGATTTATTTAGTCAGCAGAAATTAAGTATATTTCTAAAAAATCTTATCGAAAATAACGTATCAGTTTGTACTTCTACTTTTATTAACATTGATAAAATTAATGTTAACTTTCTCAACTTTATAAAGGGGCTAATGATTATTATTATTATTACGTTGTATACTCTAATTGATACTCATTATATCTTTAGGATGTTGTGATATGTATTAAATAAATAATTATTATTTTTAATGATTTTGCAACGAATATCAATTACATCATTGGAGAGTATTTCAGTGTAGCAATTATCTTGATTGGCTCTAAATAAATAATCTCATTACTTCCACACGATTGCCTTTAGCATGGCAATTCGACAGTTCTGATCATTTTCATGATTTTTTAATATTAAATAAACAGTTACCAGCTTTAACAATTTCGTAATGATTTTTAGCCTTATTATCGGAAAATATTACAGTGTCATAATTATCCCGATTGACTTTAAACAAATAATCCTATTGTAATAAAGCTACGTGAATTATTACTCCAGATGAGCGCTTTTAATAAACAGGGCAATTTGGTTTGCTTGGTAGATACATAGTGTGTTTTAGATTCAATTAAGTTGTGATCAATTCACCGACAAAAGCGGAACGAGTTGTATCCACTTTAATCCCTTTATACTTCGATCTTTATAACTAGTTTTGTTATTGTTACGAGCAACAAGGCATATCAAGGGGATTGTTTCTTCTCTTTTCTCGTTATTTCGCACTGGTTATATCCTGGATTTAATATTGTTCATTCGAATAGGTTAAATACTTCCGTGTGTAATAATTCCATGGCATACAAAAAATTATATTTTTATTATTTTAGTTATATTTCACACTACGCACGTTATTTCTTTTATTCAATAGAATTAATCAAGGTAATTACAATATTGGGATAAATTGTAACATTGAAATATTTCGCAGTAATTAAACAATACAATAATGTTTTAAAATTTATTAAAAGTAATTATTGCTTCTTTATTAGACATGAAATTTTAATTATTCTACTAATAATCAAAGTAATAAAATCAAATTTTATGCAATTTATCTTGTATAAAAATTTTATTTGTTACATTTATTATGCTTATTACTATATATTGCTATATTAATCATTATTTTCGGTTATTAGAAAAATTTTATTTGTGTATCGCATTATCGTTAAACATTAATATAAACATTGGTTATATAATCACTATTTTAATTCCTGATCAAGTGGTGTCAATTAAATTTATCAAAAAAATAAATCTAATGCAGGCGTTACTATGTTTGTTCTGACAAATTTGTCAGTGATTAGAATTTTCAGGTGTTGCGTTTAATCGCTCTTGCTGTGTCGAACATTCGATACTAATTAATTAGCCACTGTCATTTACCATTAGTGCCTTCGTCATTTAACCTATCATCCGCTGCAGCCCATTCCTCATTTCGGAAATTAGTTTCATGAATGAACGAATTTTTAATCGAGTAAGCAAATTGGTTGCAATCGATATTCAGATCGCTGCTTTTATCTTATACGCAATCAAAATTGAATGAAGACATTTTGTTGCCTTTTTTCAATTAAAATTGTTATAACTCGATTTGTGGGTAACTTTATTCACGCTGTGCTTCAGCGAATGTATCATTGCAGAACGACATTAGAATCCGGTTGCGTAGAAACTGTGTAGTTCGATTACGCGTGTTCGCATCAAGATTTATCTGATAATCCGACTTGAATGAACTTTTCGAGACGTCTTAATACGCGTGCGAAACGCTGCCGCACCAAAAGTACATCAGCCACAGGTGCCTTAACGATGCGTGAAAGCTTTCTCTTCTTCCATTTCTCTCTTCTCTTTCCATTTTTCCATTCTTCTTCTTCTCTTCTCTCTTTCTCTCCTCTTCTCTCTGTTTCCTACGCAGATATTAAAATCAATACGGTATGCGTTTGACTGGTACACCGTATGCACCGCCATTACCGCATACACCAGCCGCGTATGTACGGTCTGCCTCCCTCCCCCCCGCTACGTTTGCCCCCACAACCATCCCACGCCATACCCATCCTCTCCGTAACCTTCCTCCTTCCTCCCCCCGGCCCCGCGCTTGTGGATGCACGCGAGAACTGCAGCTGCAGCTGTAGCGCCTTGCAGTCGACGTGGTTGAGGGGGTGAGTCGAGGTGCGAACTGTTAAGGGAGAGATGAAGGGCTTGAGGAATTTGACGTCGAGTCAAGGGTGGCTTTAGAAAATGACGAAGGGCTTGAGATAACAAATGATCCAATCGGTGTACCCTTGAGTGCTTTTGTCTCGAGTGCTTGAATTTTGAACTTTAGCTTCTAAGACTTTCAAGTTTGTTAAGTTTGACTTCGCATATGTTTAGTGTGTCTTCGAGCTGTTTGGATTTCGGAACTTTTAACTTCTCCCAGATACTTGGAAACCTTGATTTAAATTTTTTTTAATGCTTCTGTCTTCTCATTTTTATCATGAAATAAGTTTCGTAAAATTTGCAGAGAAAGATTCGACTTACAACTCGAATTTGTCTTTCAATTCTTGGCTAATTAAAATTTTAGAACACCTTGTTACACCTCGAGTATTTTTATCTTTACTTTCTAAATTATTGCCGTCGTAAATCCTTCTAAATTATTGCAGTCCTAAAGTCTCAGATATTTTGAACATATGAATACCGTGATCCCTGGATCACTTGCCTTCTTAGGCACAACATAAGTCTAGGTATGAAGTATTAAGAGAGGGTGCAAAGGTGGGACATAATTTCATACCAAGTTAATCAGACGCTCAGGGGAGCCTCCGGAGAGACACGCAATGTCAAGGAGGGTTGACGAAGAGGGAGGAGTAGGATCGTAACCCGTGACATCAAATACTGGCCAAGACGTGCCGATGTCATGTAACAGCTGCTACTAATCGCCTGTTTAACTAAGCTAATTAGCAGCTTAATTAGTTGAATCGTAACGTTGATAATTATATTTCGATGATACGGGCATATGTTTTATACAATATTTTGGCGCACTCGAAGAGAAAAATTTGGGATGCGCAGCAAGTTGCAGAGAGTTTTAATTAATTATGTTTCAAATATACAGTTTTTAAGAACAAGCAAACTCTTTCTCATTTACTCCGCCATAGATTGATTAGATTTTAAGCGACTACGTCATTGATTAATTACGGTTCTTTTCCAGTATCAGATAAAGCTTTTTAAAGAGTTTGGTACTTTTTTACAGTAATTAATTATATAAATCTTATTTAATTTTGAAAAGTTATATACGTGTGTGTTAACATGTCATACATAATAATTGTAACTTAATATAATTTTTAATGAATATTGCATTAACTGCAAAAAAAAGAATCAAATTATAAAATACTTATCAAAGTATTAAACTTGTCTAAATTAAATCTGCCTTTATATATAATTTTGAAAATTAATTCTTTTGAAAACTTCGAATAATGGTAAAAATAGAATCGCGGATAAATGATTGAAAAAAATCTGATAGTTTTTAATCCGGATAACAAAGGGAAGGGTTGAAAATGTCATATAAGTTCATGATATCGCGCAGCTTGCTCGGCGTTGCGCATTTCGTTGACACCTCGTAAAACTGTAAACACGTTACCGGCATTGGTTTTATCGCGCATTCGCACGGGATTCACGAGCCGCCATTTAACCGGAATATTATTTCGTCAGATCGCTTTTCGCGGGACGAGCTGGTGAATTGAAATTACTCGCGCGAGCGTATGGCACAATTAACGACGAGAATTTATGTCGAAGCGAGTACTTTGAGATGAAATGTTTTGCGACCATTGACAAAAAATTAGACAAAAAAATTAAATGTTATATAAATCGGGGGCGACCGCACATCTAAATTGTATTATTTATTTCTACTTACAGGGTCGAGATTTACGGTCAAGGATCGATCTCGGGATTGGGTGCGTGGCTCGTGCATGTCCGAAGTCGGCGATTCGCAGGTAAGTCGTTTTATCGCAGATCGCAATTACATACTTCTATCTGTTTTCCGCCCGGCAATAATTGCATGTACAATTGCAACTTGTAATTAATCACAGCACGATCGCATAATCTAATACAGAAATTGCACGTGCAACGTATCGCGGTAATATACCAGCAATTGATTGCACGAAATAGAACACGCTCTAATTCGCGCGATTGTACATGCGAAGTGTTCGGTGTAAATTTAAATTCGTCGATGCGCAACTATATCATAATCCTTTAAATGTCACTATAATCCTTTGATAAAAAAAAGGAATTTACATCATTATTTGAAACACACATAACAATGCGAGATTTTTTTAAAAGAGTGCTAGTTTATAGTAAATTAGCAAGCTGATGGAAAATTTAAATCTCTTTCGATGATTTGCTAATATAAACTTGAAAAGACGGAAATTTTTAGTTTGATTAACCATTGCATTCGTGAAATTGAATTCAGTCACCACATGAAAAGATCTTTCCTTTCCCCTCTTCTTCGCGACTTTTCTTTTGCGTAATGAAACGTCAATCGAGAAGCAAACGTTATTAGCATAAAATGCAAGAGTGGGCGAACGAGAAAGAAAGAGGGTGAGGAGGAGCGGACGGTTTTGTGTCGGTGCCTTGTTAACTCGTGATTGCTGCTCGTCAATTTTAATTACATGCTTTTAACGACGGTGGGATCTCGGAACGATTTCTTGCGGAAAACTTTCGTAGAGATACTTTGCAGATTAATTCGGAATTTCCGATTTTGCTGAATTGTGGATTTGAATGTCATGTCCATCAAACAGTTAATTAACCTCGGGAAAAAATGATGGCAGACGAAATTGATAATTAATAAACATTACAGTAGCAAATAATTGCAATAATGTGTTTATAAATCTTTTTTCAACTAAAATTCAATACGATAAAATGCATACAATTAGCCGACAATTTATTAAACGTGCATTCATTTCAATTATTGAATTTTGAAAATTTGTTTATCATGAAATTATTGAACTTCGTCCAATGTATGTGTGTGATAGCGGTACTGACAAGAATATTAAAAAAGCGCTTAAACGTTAAGTGAATAATAAATACGCAGTATCACTGAATTGTCAAAAAATTGATATATGTTTTCTGCAAAATCTGATATCGATTTTTATTGAAATAATAGTTACTAATGAACTCGCTTAAACTTATACTCATTAATTTATTAATGAAGTACAAATAATTTCTGGACTCTAAGTCTTATTGGGGAAAAGCTTGTAGATCAATATGAGTTTTGGAAACTAAGTAATAGAATGTCATTTGTTATTTAATCTCAGACACATTTTTTTTCTAATTAGATATCTCAGCAATTAAGACATTGAACCCTTTAAAGTTAAAAATCTGAAAAATAATAATTTTTTTTCAACATGTTTGTTAGAAAAAAAATGTATTTCAAATTTTGCAAGAAATGCTATATTGTTGCTTTAAACTATTAATAAGATTTTACAATATTCTTGTATCAATTACTTTTTTACTTCTGGCAATATTTCGACGCTCGTCAATCTCTTGACGAATAAACGCTTTCAGCGTAGCCATTCTGGATTACCGTATGTGGGACTTGATATTGCGCTTCCGGAGTTGTTTTCCCCTTTTGCTGTTCATCCAGTGGCGATTTGTCACAGCCAAATGCAATTGTCTCCCCATTTCTTCGATAATTGCAAAATCGGGAGAAACTCTCTAAAGCGGAATAATGAAGGGTTCATGGGAAAAAATTGAATGTTTCGTTGATTATTTCACTACAGTTTCGCCGAATTAAAAATTTTCAAAAAACTTTTTTTATGAATAAAGTCTCTAAAGAAAAAACACACACAAAAAAAAAAAGACACAAACATGTTTATAATTTTATGTTTCATTACTTAATTATGTATTACTTTGTAATAGAGTTTTTCATGTTTCGTTTTTTTGTATTATGCTTTTATTATCAAAAAATATTTCTATTTTTGGTTTGTGTTATATATAATAAACAAAACGGAGCAAATATTTGACAATTTAAAGTAAAAAAATCCCAAAAGTGGCGGTGAGTTGCCGGTCCAAATTGCATGACTATACTCAATTTGCGTAAAAATACTCCGCGTAAATTTGCGGAGGGCGGTATCTAATTTGACGGCGACGAAAAAAAATTTGCTCGCTAATGCACTCGTTAACACTCGCGCGATTTATTAGGAGTAAATGATCGATCGATCGCGAGCGCGGCGGCCGGCGGACGCGCTCCGGCGAACGAGCGGCGTTTTATCGATCCGCGGCAGCGGGAGATTTACGCGTACATGCCAGCCGTGCCTCCAACGAACATATGTCATGTTATTTACGAGCCGGGCATTACTCTCTGCCCGATTTACTATATTTTATGTTACGTGGATAGACTCGCGATTCTTTCGGATTGAGCCGGACGCTGGTCACGTCGTCGAGGTGCGTGCCCGCGTTGCGGCGACCATCGTCGGCCGATACTTAGTTTAATTGCAACACGCTTTTCGCGAGTTACTCGCAAAGCCGATTTCAAACGCTGTATAGTTTGGAACTAAATTTGAAACAAAAATCTATTCACAATTTAGTATATCAAATTATAAGTGCAAGTGTAGATAATAGACGTCTCTTATAGGAATGTGTTGAATCTAACAAATGTTTTATATGTTATATATATGCTTTATAAAATTATATGTAGAATTATTATGTGAGTTATATTGAGAATTATATATATAACTCATTTAAAATGAGTTTAATAATCATATTTCTAGTTCTTAAATTTGAGAGAACTGGCGAGTTCGCAAATTCGCTTATCATTCGTGGATCATTAAACGAAAGGTCTTACAATTGCCAAATTTTGGAGTTTCTGGAGATCCTTTAATCTAGAGATCTGCTAATGTTGAACTTCTCGACACACCTGCGTGACTTCTCGCGTTTCGAAAGTGCTAAATCTTTTGCTTACTGGAATTAGAAATTATCCAACTTCTGTTTCCAAATTTCTAAATCCTTATCTTGCTAATTTTCCACAACTCATGAATTTTTCTTTACTACAACTCTTTGGTTTTCAATTTTAAAATACACGTATATTTTCAATTTTCTATTTTTTAAATAACAAATTGATATAAGAGTTAAAACGATTTTAGTTTGAAGCATGAAAAATAAATGTGTTCGAATCACCAATCACGGCATCTCTTTTGTATGGAAGGCATTAAGGGTCGTTCGATCATGATTTCGATACTTTGAAGTAGAAATGGGAATCTTGGGGTGCTTAATGGTAGCCATTTGGAGGTCAGCGTCGTAGCGGGAATTTATGTCCTCATATTTTGGCGAAGGTGTCGCGTGGGGCGGCGGCTTTCGGCAACGTCACTAGGTGCCTTTCAATCAGCTGACGCGCAATTCGGACGCTTGATCCTCTCGCATTTTTACCCGCTTGGAAAGGTATAATGCATCGCTCGATTTCCACCGCCGCGAACAGCGTTTTGCGGGATCTATAAGACCGCCCATTTTCAAAACTTCACCGTAATTCTTTTAAGACACAAAATAACTTATTCCAGCTCTTAAAGTATTCTCATAGCAGAAAATCGCACAGATATAACGAATTTTTGTAACTGTTCAAATCTATATATATATATATCTGTGTATATTTTTGCATAAAACAGTTAAATGTAGAAATCTTACTTTTTATTAATTTTATTTCAATTTCTTCGTATTGACAACTCTGTCAATAATTATTTTTATAAACAGTTCTCAGACATTCAGATAATTAAATAATAAAGAAAAAATATATGCATTACATTGCATTTTAAAAATCGTGAAAAATTTCTCTCTTAAAATCAGTGAATATTATATATGTACAGGTATATAAATGTTTGATAATTTTTCTAAAAGTTTCCTTTTTTTGTTTTTAACGACAATAGCGATTGTTTTAACGACTACAGCGATTTAAAGTTGTGACCTCTTCGCATTTTATGTTAGATTCCATGAAGGTTTACAAATCTCTGAAGCTATGAGTTCTTTGGTATTCCAGCCGGATGCATTTTCACAGAGTATAAAGTGTCCAACAACAACTTCTCCTAACAACAGTTCTCCCTGCCTGCGACAAGAACGGATATACAGCCGTTTGAAGTCGCGTTACACTAAATAACGCTCGTATTGCAAACTAAATAAAAGTATTTTTTGAAGCGTCGGATAAATCGAACAGCTCTACTACTTAAAAGCGCGCGAAAGTTTGGCGCTCTGCGAGAACGCGATTAAAAAGCGATTTCCAATGAAAGGCGGATTGGCAAAGGGGTAGGGGGGGGGGTTGAGAGAATAGGGGGTGGCGGACAGAGGGCAGGCGAGCGACACTGTACGGCGGTGTTTTTATTTCACGGGAAATTTAACTTTAGGACTGGCGAGTCGGGGAGAAATTGCGATGGACAGGGCGAATTCGGTATTGGATTACGACAGAATGATTGCGCTCTTAATTAAAAGGGGTGGGGACAGAGGAGGAGGGAAGACCCGACCCTGTTCGTGTTTCCGCTAAAGGGATTAACTTACTAAATCAGAGTTATGGCCTCATTGTCAGTCGCGATCATAAAGCCGATGGATGTTAATGCAAGTTTCCTCGGGTTTGTCTTCGACCTAACTTCCTCGGGATTGATTGATCACTTCGTCGGTTCCCACTATTTCATTACTGCTACTTCTAATGATTGTCTGCGCGGATATTTAATATGTCAGCATTTTACACCGCTTTGCGTATTTATTACTGCATGCGGCAGATTTCTAACTTAATTTGCAATTTTGTTATCAGAAATTCCAACGGCTGGAAACTAGCGTCTAATTTACTACTCTGATTACCGCATTGTCAGTTGTTGGAACATAAAATCGATAAACGTTAACATAAGTTTCCTCGGGTGTCTAACTTCTTCGGCCTTGATTGACTGCTTCGTCGTTTTTCAATGTTTCTTTACCGTTTTTGCTCTTAAATATTACCTTATTATTCAACGTATCAGCA